GGAACAGCTGGAAATAATATTGGCGGTAGTCAAGCTCGTGAGTAGTGACTAGTAATATTTATATTTACTAGTAATTATGAAAGAAATTGAGCCTTGAAGGGAGGATTTTATGGGCATGAGTACGAGCGGACAGTGTCTGAAAATATTGACCCACCTCAAAACATTCAAAATATTTTAAAATAGTTACCTTCTATGAAGAATGGATTCAAGCAAAATATTCTCTTCCCTACAGAATCTACAGGTAATGGTATTGTTGGTGATGGCAACACTGTTTCAAGTCTCGTCAATGTCAATCCTCAAATCAATGCTGGCGTGAATCTTCTAAGTTCAGCAGCACAAACCGTTTCTAGTGTCGCTGGCGGTGTTGCTGGTGCTAGTGGTGGACTTTTAGGCGACGTACTAGGTAGCGCAACTAGTGGACTTTTAGGTGGCGTACTTGGTGGTGCAACGAGTGGAGTTTTAGGCGGCGTACTTGGTGGCGCAACTAATGGACTTTTAGGCGATGTGGTTGGCGGCTTGGGTGGTGCGGCCAACGATATCGGCGGCCAGCAAGTCGTGAATGCTCTAAATATTGTCAACCAAAATACACCAGGTGAAGCTAACGGTGCAGAAACAGCTGGCTCGCGCGGTGCTGTAAACAACTTAGGTGGTAGCCAAGCTCGTAAGTAGTGACTAGTAATACGTATTTATTTCTACTAGTGATTCCGAAAGACATTGATCCTCTACACACTAGGCTTTTGAGACCGCTTGAAGCGAGGATTTAATGTGCATTAGCAAATATTTCAAAAAAGTTACCTTCTTTGAAGAATTTGTTCAAGCAAAATATTATCTTCCCTACAGAATCTTCAGGTAATCGTATTGTTGGTGATGGCAACACTGTTTCGAGTCTCGCCAATGTCAATCCACAAGTTAATGCTGGTGTGAATCTGCTCAGTTCTGTTACACAAACCATATCCGATCTAATAGGCGGCGGTGCAAGTGGCGGACTGCTTGGTGGTGCACTTGGCGCTGTAGAAGGTTCAGCTAACAACATAGGTGGCAGGCAACAGAGTAAGTAACAAATATCAATAGTTTATGATTGCAGATCCACAGAATTTCCTCCTTTTTTCAGTGGATACAGGCTCTAACATTCAAGGGAATAACAACCAAGTGTCCAATTTAATTAATGTGGATCCTCAAGTAAATGCCGATGTAAATGCTTTAAGTAGTGTCAATCAAAGAACAGCAGGTGGAATCGGTGGTGCTGG